TGTCCATCCCCACTCTGAGCAGCCTTTGGAAAACCTGGCCCGTGGAGCAGCCACCCCACACCAGTGTTCACCTGCCTTTCTGCGCCCGCTGGGGTTCCCTTCCCTCACTCTGAGCACAGCTCGCTCTCCTGCATTTTACCGCGTTCCCTCTACACGGGCAGCGTGATGCGCAGTGCGGGAAAGCCCTCCGAGAGCTGCCTTTCCCTGGGTGGGCTCCGGGGCAGCTTGCTGGCCTGCTCAGGGCTGCGTGGCTGCGGAGGTGGGTGTGGGTGCAGGGATGGGACACGGGCACCCTCCGCAGCACTTTTCTCCCACTCGCTTGAAGCGGCGAGGGCGAGGGATGGTGTGGCGGGTCCGCGTGCTCGAGCTGGGCAGCCGGTCGCTTGGGGGTGTCTGGGGCTCGCTTGGTTTACGTGATGGGTTGGCACATAGAAAGGGTTTTTGATTTTCTGCCAAGAATGGCACCTGCAATTTATTATGAGTAAAAAAATACGTATTTCTGTATGGGATAAAGGAATGTCTTGACGCTTGAATTGTTAAAAGCAAGCAAAGAAACCAAAGAACCGCAGCCCCCATGTGCCGGACTGTCCAGCTGCCGTTTTCACAGGGCACCAAAAGGACAAACAAAGTTTCCTGTTTGGTTTTGGGAAACCTTTTCCCTAGAAACAGGTGCTCCAGTGAAGTGTAGGAAGTCAGGAAAAAAACGTTTATTGTGTAGATAATGGTATCTCGCTGAGTTATAAAGTGACGTTTCTTTGGGAGATTGTCTTACTGTTTGTGGTTGGCTTTGGGTGACTTATGGGGTGCTGCATTTAATTTTGAAAAGAAATATCGAGTCACATTGCATTATGTTTTTGTTTCTTCCTCCTCCATTCCCTCCCCCTTTTCAGATCTACCACAGTCCCATCACGAAGCAGGAAGAAAGTGAGTCACTTCTGTTGCTGCTCTCTGAGCTGTCGGGCAGCGCGTTCCCTTGCAGATACGCTCGCCCGCGGTCTCTGCTGAGCAGGCTGTCTTTTCCCTCCGTCGCGGCCGTGTGACTTCTTTCCTTTTCATCCCGGTGTCTGATACTGAGTCCTGATAAGAATGAGCTGCAAGCGGTAAAAGTTACCGGTTGCAACGTGCAGTTCATATTTAGCAAGAACTCGCGGGATGCAGAGTTCAGTTTGCACCTCTAAACCCTAAAATAACGGAGGGGAAAAAAGGCCAGTGAGAGATTTTTGTGGGCATTTCCCTTAGCGAAGGTTACAGTAGGAAAACAGAGGTGCCGCGTAGTTCCCTGGAGCTCCCATCCACCGCCGTGTCCCGTGTCTCCCGTTTTGGAAGCGGAGGTCCCCTCCCCACCGCCCCCGCAGCAGCTGCCCCCGCTTCGCCTTTCCCCGTTTACAGCCCCTTGCTGCCCCAGAAACCCTGGGGCTTCATTAGCTGGGTGAAAACCTACGTTCTCTATCTGAGAGATCACCTTTTTCAGCACTTTAATTAGCTGACTTTAATGAGCATAGAGGTAGCGTTATCAGGGTCATAAGCATGGAACCTGTTGTTTGACTGTGTTTGCATTACACGCTTGGAAAGAATGTGACTCAGTGCTTCACAAAAGTAAATACACGCGATTTTTAATAGATAGAGCTAAAAAGGCTTCAAGTCGTGTTAGGCACTCCGTGCCCAGTGGAGCTGTGCTTAGCAGTGTCTGTACTCGTTCTGTGTTAGAGCGGAGGTGCCTCTGGGCTGTCCGTCACGGTTGCTCAGGGAAGAGGGAATTGTTATAAACAACGCGCTGGAAGTGCAGTGATTTCACGGGATTCGCCAGCACGGCCTGTGCTGTGACTGGAGTAGGTCCAGATATGTCTTGTGCCTGGCTTTTTGAGCAGAATGTTGTTTTACGTTTAAAAAAAAAACCACCCTCCAAAAATTCCTACAACTCGGCACCCTCTGAAAAAAAAACCCAAAGCCAACAGCGGCATGGTCATTTAGGAGAAATTAAATATAAATGT